CTAGCCGCGACAAGCCTCGACCACGAAGATGCCCCCCGACCTGGATCCAGGGCGAGCGGCGAGATCATGGCGCACGCCACGCCCATCCATCCTCCTACAGCCATCGTGCTGGCAAACAGGGAAAGAAGGCCGCGACGACCCTCTATGCCACAAAGAAGCTCGCCGACCTGGATCCGGGCAGCGGTCCGAACACGGGAGCCCCTCTGGGGTGCACATCGGTTTATACTCAAGCGCGGGAGAAGGGAAGATAAAGGAGAGGCAAAGAAGGGATGAGGAGGAGGAAGAAGAGGAAGAGGAAGAGGAAGAGGAGGATAATATAAGATAAGACACGCTTGCGACCCATGTCCTCCTGTCATGGCCCCTGCTACACAAAAAAAAGAAGAGCGGCCTGGAACAGCAAGTAGGTCTGCGCCCGCTGACTAACAAGACTTCGGCGTTCGGTCGCTCTGCAGGGGGGCGCCACTGGCCACGCGCGGGGGCCCCTGATGGGAGGGGCCCTGGGGCCCCGCCGAGGCACCATGAATCCCGCAAAGCAATGAGAGGCAACGAATGAACCCCTCAAGAGGCGTCAGTGCATGCAATGCGCAATCAAGTCAGAACGTGAAACGGGGGCTCAGAGGGAAAATGACTCCTCGCGCTAACAGCGCCACTGGATCAAATCCAGGATTGGAAATCACATCATCATGGCCCCATGCATCTAGCAATGTATGAGAATGTATGTGAACATTAGCTGTCAGGCTGACCAACCCGCTGCGATGCTGCGCTGATAAGCCGACCCTGTGCTCTGTCACCTGCCGAGGCGACCATGGCACTAGACCCGCGTAGCGGCATGGCTCTGAGGCTGGCAGCACGCACAGTCATATCTTCAAGCGATATCTGGAACTGAAGCGGGGAAGTAAAGAAATGCATAAAAGTGCGACCATAAGGGGGAGGCACACTGGAGGATAGGGCGGGCAGAGCGAGCCTGCAAAGCCCTCAGCCCTGCCTCCTGGAGCTGCCCTTCCTGCGTTATACGAAGCATGCGCTCGGAACCTGAAATGTCAGTCAATCTGGCTCCTAGCTCTCCATCTCGTTTTCGTTGTCGCTCAGCTTCTCGCCGTCGTCTTTCGCCATCCCCATCCTGCCCGGCAGCTTGAGCGCCTCCCTCTCTAGACCGCCCTTGGGCGGCCCCCCCTGGCTTGAACCTGCCGCCGATCTTGAAGAGGGCCTCGCAAACTACCTGGCGGGCCGTGCCCACGGGCGTGGAGTTGAAGGCGATCTGGCTGGTCTGCAGCTGCGCGCTCAGCATGAACTGGATTGTGTAGTGGGTTGGTTGGTTTCTCCTGCCGCTTCCTGTTGTAGTACGTGGGCCGAATCCTGCAGTACCGCGCCTGATCTTGGAGCCCAGAGAGCGCGCTCTTGTCCCCCGCAACGTTGGCGCCCCAGTGCACGTGCAGGGCCTGCTTGGACATCAATGGAGTCTCCGCGTGCTCGAGGATCGCCGCCAGCAGCGCGCGCCACATGTGAGCCCATGGCGGCCCGTATGGATGATCGCGCCCTGCTTCCTTGCAGCCCTCGCAGTACCGCCTCCCCCCGGCGAGGGTGGCCACTCCTACTGGGCGCGCGGCTGCTAGGATGAAACAGCTGTAGCAAGCGCCAATGAGGTCTGCCATGCCCTTGCTGTTGTTGAGGCGCAGTTCCGTTCGTACTTTTACCGGCGTTTTGAAAGGGCCGAGGGAGTGACTCTGCATCGTGTGCTCCGTCGCGCCCTTGACATCCCGCAGGCGTCGAGGGCTCTTGTTGCCTGGTTATCCTTCTGATCCTCCCTCGGCTGGGCGCGCCTTGGCCTTGCCCGCAACTGGGAGTCCCCAGCTCGGCGCCGTTGCCTTCCACTCCGCCGCTGCAGCTGCTCCGTTGCCGCCGCTGCCCGCTGCTGCTGCTCGCGCATCCCGCGCGTCGCGGACGCTAGGTAGCGCAGTGAAGTGCTCACGAAAGTGCTGATGGAGATGGCCGCGATCGAGCCTAGATGTTTGACAGAGAGGGCGCGAATATGTCGCGTGATCCTATTCCCCTGAACGTGTTCGACCTGCCCTGGCTGCAAATCCCCGTCCCGAACGAGTCCCTGATATGGTTGTACGCCGAATTTCTGGACTCACAAATCTGCCCACAGATAAAGCATTGAGCATCAGTAGTAAGCAGCCCCAGGATGTTGAATAGCCCATGGCGTTGGCGCAGGCGACAAGTAAGCTGACGTCTAGTACCAAACGTTTTATCACAGCCTCTGATACAACATCGATAATCATCACCATCTCGGTGTTCTGGGGGACCAGGTTCTGGTGGATCTGGCCTGGCCTGGAACCCAGGGGGGAGCGCGCGCAGTATAGGGTGCCGCTCTGAGCTGGGCGATGGCACATCGGCCGAACCAGCCCGATAACTCAGGATCACCGAGCAGCTGGAGGGGGCGACGGTCCCAGTCCTCAAGTTTCTTTGCGTGTCCCCCCACCCAATTGGCTCAGACTTTGAACGTCCTGTGCGAATATGTGGGCCCATGGTGACGCATGCTCAGTGAGGTGTCCGTGCTCATCAACAACCTGGATGCCTCTCTCCCTGGTTCAACCTTGATGGCAAAGAAGAGGGCCCCCAGTCAGCAGCGTGGTAGTGGGGTTCACGGATCCACTTTTGGTACCACTTCAGACGGCGGACGCGGAGTTCAATCTCTAGGTGGGCTGCTCGCCAGAGTTGCAGTACGCGTAGTGTTGTGATGGACCTCATGTGCCCATTGTGCCACTCAGTAGCTGCACCACGGAGCGCCCTCCTGCCGTAGTCAACGGCACGATTCTGAAGCCTAGCTATCTGGGATGCAGAGGGGAGGAAAGCCTCGAGTGCCGAAACCGCAGGTCCGATACCTCGGCTCAGAAACATTGCCCTCGTCTCAACATAGGGGATGCGTGGCTGATGCCAGTGCCGCCCCATGGACCAATAACCAGCCGACATCGCCGATAATCGAGCCTCAAATTCACTGCTGAATTTACTACCATACCGAACGAACGATCCGATACATTTAGCGGCATCATTAGGTACTCCAGCCATTGGTAAAGCTCCAGTTTTAATACTCGCCTTCCGAGGTTGCTGCCCAGGGCCCTGCAACGAGATAACACGTTCGTTCTTGGAGGGTTTGAGACGGTAGTTTCGGCGCGCTAGACAATCAGCAAGGATATGGTTGTACAGCAGGGGCTGACGGCTGAGGGAACTCGCTCCATTCTCTGGCGGGTGTGCAACCAGCTTGCGAAGGGCATCGTCGACATAGCTGTGGAGTGAGAGATCGATCTCCAGTACCTCCTGACCCTCGGGATGAAGCTCGACAACGCACCCGTCGGCAGTGGATTCTCCAGATTCTGCATAGGCTGCTTGTGCCTCTTCGGAACAGTCACCGACGTCCCTGACAAAAACCTTCACCGCCCAGGGGCCCCATTGCAACGCGCCAACCCATGGTTTTGCAAACGGGTGCCCATCAACTCCACCAAAGCAGACAGCCGAAAACTCAAACCTCTGCTCTCCATAATAGCGCCCCCCCCGCATGACCTCCTTGTTAGCCTTCTCACGGGCGCCCCAGCTACTAGACCCAAACGCGTTACTTATATCCGTATGGTCGTTCACAAATTCAAGCCCTAATTGCCGCAATCTCCATCCCAGCGCCTGCTGGGCAAGCAGCGGAGTCTCTCGACGACGCCGTGCAATGCACCCATGTGATGACAACGGCTCTTCATCTTTCTGGGCAGGGTCAATGCAAGTCGCGATGAAAGCCTTGCCGAAAGGACAAAGTACACGCACCACTCTTTTCCAAGACAAAGCAGCAGCCTGCGAGAGATGCCAGACCAGGGGGGCCTGCCGGGAGCGTCGAATTGTGTGCATGAGGGAAACCAGAAATCCACGGACGACTTTGAGCTCAATGTTGGGTGCCTCATAGCCTACTCCTCGAAACCTTTTGGAGGTACGCTTATAAGGAAAGAAAATCATCCAGAAGATCTCCACCGGCACGGACCACTCAGGAACAGCTCTGCGACGACTTTTGAGGTTTTTCCGAATTTCCTGCAGCCCAGAGGCCAGCGCCCACGAGGAGGAGGGGGAGGAAAGGAGGGAGAAGGAGGAGGAAGAGGAGAAGGAGAAGGAGGAGGAAGAGGAAGGGGAGGTCTTTGGCTGCACTCTTCCTCCTGCTTCTATTCCTGCGCAGCGAGTCTGCCTCCACTGCACGGCGATGCGGACCACCGCGAGCAACACGAGGACCAGGGGGCGAGCGGCACAAGAGACTGTGCAGGGCGCCGCGACCGCTCATCCCCTTGCAATAGTAAGAGGACTCGTAGATGGGGTCCGAGCAGATGAGGTCGGAGGATGGCGCCGCATCGTCGATGCATCGGCGACTTCGGCGATGCATCAGCACCGTCGGCGTGCAGAACATCGGGCTCCATATCGAGCCGCATCGCCGATGCATCGGCGACGGCGGTGCGGCGCGATCGTCCGACCACACCCACTCGGGCCCATGTAGGGAGGCCTAGATGCCCCCCCCCTTCTCTCCTGGACCTCTGCAGCCCGGCTTTGAGAAACGACTGCAGCGTCCAAGACAGCAGCGACGGAGCCCTGGACCCCGCCTTGCTGCGGCATCCTCTGGGCCAGAGGAGGAGGAGGAGGAGGAGGAGGAGAAGGAGGAGGAGGAGGAGGAGGAGGACCTTGCTGCGACATCCTCTGGGCCAGACAGGTAGCTGATGTTCCCTCCCGGGGCCCGAGGCCCGTGCGAAGACGCCCCGTGTGGAAACACTGCAGCGCCGGGAGCTCAGGGGACCCCCCGCTTCCACCCCCTCCCCCCAGGAGGAGGAGGAGGAGGAGGAGGAGAAGGAGGAAGAGGAGGAGGAGGAGGAGGAGGAGGAGGAGGAGAGGGAGGAACAGAGGAGGAGGATGAGGAGGAAGAGGAGGAGGAGGCCCTCTCCCTGCCGCCCTCGCCCTGCCACTGCGGCGGGGTACGCTTCCTCGGTGACCAGAGCGGCATGCTTCTGCGCGCCTTCGGGGGAGCGCGCGCGCGCGAGGGCGCCTGCCGCGCGAGAACTCATCGTCTTCGTCTTCGTCATTGTCGCTTTCGTCGTCCTCGTCCTCGTCCTCGCCGCAGCTCTCTTTAGTCAATTCGGCGGCGCGCCCAGGGGTAAGGCAGAGGGGGCAGGCCATCTCAGAAGGCTCATCAGGCCCTTGACCTCTTTTGGCCTTCTAAGAAGCTTCTGGGAATTGAGGCCCACCCCCGTCTCACCTCCCGCCTCGGCGAGCCGCCGATCTTAGACAACCTTCTCCTTCATCTTTCCCAACGGTGCATCCCTCATCCTGTCCTCCTCCTCCTCCTCGTCCGCTTCCCCCCCCGTCGAATCCGATCATCCAAACCTGGTCTTTAACAACCATCCCCTCACTGACGCACCACTAGGCGTGTCCTGTAGGTCGGACTCTGACGATGGAGTGCTGGCGATTTCTAACATAAGCCCAGCGACACCCCAATGAGGGTTCGGCGTTCTTCGAAACCAATTCAAACAATATCTGAAGAATACCAGCAAGTCCATCGACACGCGACATTGGGCAACGTAAGGCATTGCTTGGTATAGCTTGGCGTTACTTGGACTCGTTGCTTGGCATTGCTTGGTATAGGTTTGCATTGCTCTGCGTTGCTTTGCATCGCTTGGCGTTGCTTGGCATTGATTGGCGCTGATTAGCATTGCTTAGCATCATGTGGTATCGCTAGACAATGCGGTGCATTTCTCGGCATTGGCTCTGCATTGCTTTGCGTTGCGTGGCATTGCTTGGAAGCGTTGCTTGGAAGCGTTGTTTGGAAGCATTGATTAGCATTGCTCGGCATGGCGTGGCGTTGTTTGGCAGTGCTTTGCATTGCTTGGCATTGCATTGCATCGCATTGCTTGACATTGGTTGGCATTGGACGGGCAACCCCGAGCACACAAATAACCCCGAGCAACCCACCGTTGCAAGGGCAACCCCGAACGACCCACCGTTGCATTGGACGGAACAACCCGGCAGCGCTGGGCGCTGCTTCTAAAATCAAGCGTCGCACCCTCTAGTTCGTGTCGCAACATACGTGAGGGGGGCCTTAGGAAAAACCTCACTGGGAAGTGAAGATCTCGCACCAACGCCGCGCACCTTCGCGGCAAACCCCTCCAACTGCTACAAGGATGGAGGGCCAGCGGTTTCAAAATGCGGCTGCCTCTTGGAGCCGCGAGCATCCTTCGTCCAAGAGAGCTGCGAGAACGAAGGGCCACTGGCTTCCAACATGAGGCCCTCGCCTCAGCGCAGAGCACATTCGCGACAACATATTCCATCATCGAACTGCTACAACTATGGAGGCCAACACGTCTTCAAGCCGAAGCGCACGCCCTCGCGACGCGCACACTCGTCCCAGCAAGCTCGATCAATCACCAAGATTGATGCCCGCTCGTATTCAGAATGTAGCCCTCGCTTGAAACGCGCCCGAAGATCCGTATTCGAAGGATGGCGGGCGTTTCTTCCGACCACTGCCGACGCGAGGATCTCCGGTGGGCCCTCGACACGTCCGCACTGTCTGTGGTCAGAGCTTTGGAACTGCCCAGCAGTTACAGAGATGGCCAGCATACGTTGCACAAGGGGGCCATCGCCGGACCCGTCCGTACCTTTTTCACCCTGCCTCCTCAATTCTTGAGGATGAATCCTTTAGAATGGATTGATCCTTGGATTCTCAAGGATTGAATCCTTCGATTTATCTTTCATCCTCGATCCTCCTGATTGCCTTCCTCCGTCCATAACTTTGTAAGTCGAAGGATTGAGGATGGATCCTTTACAAAGCGGCGCCCCCCGGGAGCGCAGTCCCGCCGGGCGCTCGTCGGCAGAGGGGACGCCTCCCGCAGCGGACCGGAACAGCCCGCCGCCCTGGAGGTCCCAAATGCTTCCTCCGGGGTTGGTTTGCTGTACCGGGCCCATGTCTGATGCCCCCATGGCCCGAAAACGGCCCCTGGTGGCCGAAACCGAGGAGCAAACGCGGGTTGCAGAAACCATGTCGTCGCAGATCTATGGTTTTCCTATCCCTCCTCCTCCTCCTCCTCCTCGCCCATACCTCCTCCTCGTCCTCCTCCTCCTCCTCAGCCTCCGTGTCCAGCGAGATCAGCAAATACTTCCAGGCACACCTCAAGCAGCGCAAGGAGCAGCCAGACACCGACCACGGCCCGCCAGCGTGCCATTGCCTTTCAGGGGCTCTCGACGTTATGCTGAGATACGAGCACAAGGATTCTTCGGCACCGTTTCAGATCATAGTGGCAGGTCTGGCCGGGCTCAAAGTGATGCCAGACGGTTCAGGGCCGGCAGAGGGAGCGAGGTGGGTCAAAGCAGTGTTGCTTCTTCCGACGTTTCAGAAGCCAGGCAAGGAACCCAAAGTGCGTATTATGTTCAGTTGCCGAGGAGAACTTGTGCTGCCCAAGTCGATCGAAAAGCACGGCGAGATGCTGAAGGCTCTGGGCCCCCAGGGCGACGAGAATCCACAGGGAACCGAGAACCCACTCTTCCAGCCGACGCCAGTGGAGATGCCAACGAACCACCTCCAGATCGAAGGCGTGCGCATTCCAGTGGAGGTGATCTTATCAGAAGCGCTCAGATCCGTGGGAGGTCAAATCCTATCAGGCCGAGCCCCACGAGGCAATCTAGTACGACAGCTTGGCCGTGGAGGAGAGCGCCCTAAATAAGTTGTGATGTGAAGTGTGCAGTTGATGGATATCGCCCCTTCCTGAGCTGCTGTGCACGTTCGTAACTGGGCTCGCTACCTTTGCGGAGCAAGATATCATGCAACTTGATTGGACGTATTCATATCTTTGCCGTGGATGGGATTTCTGATGCAGATGTCTCGTGGGCAGTTTCAAGCATTGTCACTATTGATGGGAGTGGTCTCGCCTTATGAGGGAAGGGTACTTCTTGGTGCATCCATATCCATATTATCTCAATGATTGGGAACTCTGCATGCATGGAGTCTCAGTACATTGTGAACTCGTTTGTGACAAAGTTCATAGATCAACCCTGAGGCTGCTCGCCAGGCCGCGCCCCCGCGCAGGCGAGGCAGTACTCGCATCTGCCTTGCTGTCGCCGCGGACGGTAACTGACTAGAGAGGGTAAGGGTTCTGAAGGATCCCCCCCCCACCCAGAGCAAATTTTCAGAAGGACTTCTGCTCTAGAGATTGCTTGAATGGGCAGTGAGAGAGAGAGAGAGAGAGAACAACAAAAAACTCCTCAGCCTCCTCCTTCTCCTCGTCCTCCTCCTCCACCTCCCCCTCCTCCTCCTCCTCCTCCTCCGCCTCCTCCTCCTCCTCCTCCTCCTCCTCCTCCTCCACTTCCTCTCCTGGTCGAGGACAGCGGCGGCGGCGGCCAGGGGGCGAGGAGCGGCGGGGTGGCGCGCGCCGAGGCCCAGGTCGCCGGAGCGCATCTTCGCAAGCATCTCCTCGATCCTCGGGGCCGCGGGCAGCGGCACGGGGCGGATGGGGGCAGCGGCGGTCGCCTTGGCTTGACGACGGGTCGTCAGCCCGCGGCTCTCAAGGGGGCGGGGTCTCTCGGGGGATCGTGTGGGCCCCGAGGAGGCTCCGCCAGCACTGCGCCGGACGGAGGAAGGAGCGCATGCTGCGGGCAGCCTCGCCCTCGGCAGGGCAGCATTGAATCATGCCCACTCGGGAGGTGATGCCTCACGTCTTGGCGCGCCTGCGGCTTGCCCAAGGACGAAGGAGAGAGAAAGAAAGAGAGAGAGAGAGAGGATGCAGGATTCAAATCCATTGGGAACGAGTGGTATGCACAGCATCAAAACTATGAAACACCAGACGTAACAAAATTCTTTCAAACAAGCACAGAGGTAAACTTACGGAATTCCTCCCGATCCCCCTCCTACTAAGAGAGAATGGGCGCCAGGGGGTGACGCAAGAATTCGACAACAAATGGTGAGGGAACGACACCAGGAGTGGGACCGAGGGGAAGAGAGACGAGCAGGGATCGCAGGAGGCGAGAGAGTGTGTAACGCGGGAGGCGGCGTGGGAATGAACGGGGAGCGGGGCAGAGGGGAGGCGGCGTACGGGGGCCAAGGTGGAACACGCGTGAAGGGGGAGGAGTTGAAGCGGATGAAGGTGCGAGTGGGTGGGTGAAGGCTGTGTGTGGTGGGGTATCATCCCCGCCTCCTCATCCTCTTCCCGCCTCCTCTTCATTCCCCTCGCTCCACCTCCTCGAGAATCTCCTCAGAACCCCCTGGAATCCTAGGACATCCTGAAGCCCTGTGCCACCACCTTCCTCGCCCTTCTTGCCTCCCTCCTCCTCCCACTTCCTTCCTCCTCTCCGTCGCCCCAACCTTCCCGACAGGCAGACAGACTGAGAGACAGAGAGAGAGAGAGAGAGACAGAGAGAGAGAGAGAGATAACAAGCGAAAGACACCAAACAGAAGAAATAGAGAGAGACAAAGGGAATGATAGCCAGATCCTGGGCATGATCGCCTTGGTGAGCTTGGGGGCGCCGCCCGCCGTCTTCCTGCGTGGAAGCGGCGAGCGCGGGCCAGGCCCCTCCCGCCCTTACGCCCTCGGGGAAGCGAGGGGAGTGGGGGGGGGAGCCCCGCCCCGAACGTTCGAGTAGGAGATCGACTCCAAAATCGATTTACCCCCAGATCGGTTCTTTCGCCAGATTCACGGAGGATCGCACCATTTTCGTAGATCAGCGGGCATTCCGCGTATCTCTCGTAGGTTCGAAGAGAGTACCAAGCTTGAGGCAAATCAGCTATGCAGTCGATCTCCTGCTCGAACCGTTACCCATCAATTCTCCCTCGTAGTTGTGTCTGCAGAGACTGGTGCCCAAAACCGTATGGTGACAGACCGCGTGGTGACCCCTGAGTATCGTTTAGCCGATCCCCATCCCCAGCGGCGTGGCCTGGGCCCCACTGGTCGATTTACCCCCCCCGGATGGGGATATAGGCCGTTCCCTTCGGGCTTCGAGGGGTGTATCCCCAACTTGGGTAGTAATTTGGCCGGGGTCTCGAAGGGGATGGGGGCGGGGACGAGGATCGGTTACACGATACCGACTCGGAGCCCCCAGCGACCTCACCGCGCGCTCCGTCACTGCACGGTCCTGGGGCCCCGGGGCCCCCGTCGCCCGCGACGTCCTCGGATAACGGCCCGGGAGGCCGAAGACCGTGCGGTGATCCCCGCCTCCCTACCGACTCACCACGGCGGTGCGGTCACCATACCGTTCTGGGGCTCCCGGTCGTGGCGCGCCAGCGTCGCCCACAAAGCCCCTCCGCCGCGCCCTCCGCCTCCTCACAAACCCCCCCCGCCTCCGCCCTCCGCTCCCTCCTCGTCTTTTTCCTCTTCCTGCCGACATATCCCCCTCTTCCCCTGTCCTTTTCGTTTCCGCCTCCGCCACCGCCGCCTCCTGCTCCGTATCCTTCGCCCAATACGTTGTCTCATGATTCTTCTTAGTATTCAGAGTGAAGGGGCCGAACGGTCATTCGTTGTCCCTGGGTGCGTGGCTTTAGTGCGGATCCGTGGTGGGGATTATGGTTGCTGCGTTGTTGTTGCTGTTGCTGTTGTTGTTGCTGTTGTTGCTGTTGTTGTTGTTGTTGTTGTTGTTGTTGCTGTTACCGTTGTTGTTGATGTGGGAAAATCATTACCGAACAATTATTATGGTTGGCCCTCTTACAGGCGCCCTGGCGCTCTCGCCGAGGCGCCGGCTGCATTTTCATTGAAAATGAAGCCCGCTCTCAAACGGTTTGGGGGACCACCAAAACCGGCCCCACCACAACAACAACAACAACAACAACACCACCACCACCCCCACCACCACCACCACCACCACCACCACCACCACCAACCACCACCAACAACAACAACAACAACGCTCCCGGTCGAGACTTCCTTCTTTACTTAGGACTGGTGCCCTTGTTCGCCGCCGAAACTAGCCGTCTCAACAAGACCAGCGCTCCCGCTCGAGACTTCCTTCCGTTTTACCTTGGACAGGCGCGCTACTCTTTCTCTCGTCGGCGCGACTTGCTCCCGTTCTTTACTCAGGGTGGAGCTCTTGCTCGCCGCCGACAGCTCCCGCCCAGACAAAAACCAGCGCTCCCGCCCGAGAATTCCCCCTGCTTTATTGGACTGGCGCCATTTCCTCCTCTTCCTCCTTTTCCTTTTCCTCCTCCTCCTCCTCCTCCTCTTCCCTCCCCCCCCTCCCTTCTCTTTCTTCCTCCCCCTTCGTCCACCCCCTCCTCGTTTCCCTCCTCCACCCCTCTTTTCTCCTCCCTCCTCCACCTCTCTTCGTCCTTCCTCTCCTCCTCCTCCTCGTCGTCGTCGTCGTCCTCCTCCTCCCCCTCCTCGC